CTGAGGGACAGCAACACGGCCCCTGGCTCAAAAAGGTTGCCTACCCCTAATCCAGAGGATCTGGCTTGACCCCAGGGTAAATAGCCTTTAGTAAAATAACGCTGGCTTTGCACAGATTTTCCTAGAAACCACAGTAAATCCTGGGTGTTACACCACCCCCTCTGCTCCTTACCTTGCCAGCTCTTCCTCAGTAGCCCCTTGTTGTCATGTCTGATGTGGAAATAGGGTGCTTGGCCACATGGGTGCAGCTAAGCACTGTATTTCTGCATCAGATGTGGTGATGGGGGGACTTCTCAGTTGGGAAGATGCAGAGCAATGTAAGGGGTGCATGCCATCCTCACGCTGACCCAGGGACCAACCTGGATGAGCATCTAGACCAGGATTGCATAGGCTCAGCCCATGTAATCCTGACTCATCTGCTCAGGCCCTTAGTTGGTTTCCATGGGTGAGCACGGATTCAGACCACTGCAGCATGCTGGTTCTAACCTAAAATTAATCCCCATCAGCTTTAAAATATAAGCAAGACCTAATACATCACAGCTGCAATCTAGATGTTTCTAAACTGAGGATGTTTTTCTGATAATCAGATGTAGCCACTCCTAAAGATGAGTCCATAGTTCTGGTAAATGTCACACCATTTTGTTTCTGGATTTCAAGCCTTGTAGTGGCTGCTTGTGTTCCCACATGAAGTCATGGCCTAAATATACTGTAGTTTCATCCACCCTTTTTTCCTACCTGAGGTGTGGTTAAATGTAGTGTGAGCTGGGTTTCCTTCCCTCCTTGTCATCCCTTCCATGAACACAACACCTCCCCCAATGCTTTTCCTCCAGTATTCGTGTCCCCTGCCTTGAACATTAATGTCTAATTTTTGTTGTTATAATGCAAAAATGCTATACCGTCTCAGTACTATAAGTATAAAAGAAGTGAAGGGGGAGGAATAAATGTTCAACCTGGTAACAGGAAATCTAATGAGGGAAGGAAACTCAGCAGAAAACACACTAGCAAGGGTCACATCCTCATTCAACACATCATCATAGAACTGCCCAAAAGTACAGGTTGAACTGAGACACTAGATACAGACTTTGGTAGTCACTCCTGCCTTTATCAAAAACTCCTGAGACAGAAGCAAAACTCATCCTCCCACCCCTGCCCTGGGTTTAAAAAGTCATGGTTAGTCCCAGATATTCACAAGAAATAGACTAAAATAGGAAGTATGCTGCATGTATATTTTAAAAAGTCTTGATAACTACAGGAACAACTTCAGCCAAATGCTGTGGCTTTTGGCTGGTCTGGGGGTAGCCCTCTAATGAGAGAAAAGTGCAGTGTTTAACATTCATAAGAAGAGCTCTGTTTCAGCTAATTCCCTAAGGTAATTAAAGCTCAGGAAGCCAAAGGGAGTGAGAAGAAAAAAAAAATCTGTAATAAGCCACTTCCATCTCCTGCTGCACCCAAAATACAAGGAAATTTCTCTATGAATGTCTTTACAAATAAGGCAATGGTTTCCAATTAGTGTCACTGGTTGGCTGCAACTTCTGAGTGTGGATTTATACATTTTTGTCCTCCTCTCATATTTTTCAATCAAGCGGCATCAGATACTTCAGTAATAGAAAATACATATTCACTTAATTTCTAGCATTAGGTTATTATAAAATACACAACTCATTGCTGTTCCTTCCTCTTCTACTGCTTTGTGCCAGGGGATATGGTTACATATGCTGATGTCATCCAGGTCACAAAGGGGTGTGATTTAGGGATGGGGTAGGGAATCCAGCCCCCATTCAGATATGGCTCCCCACTCCTGGTTTAAGACATCCACTGTGAAATGGAGAATCAGAAGATGCAAACTACAACAATGAAACTTATTCTCTTTCTATCATGAGTCCTGATAATATCATAGTGCCTGCCTAGGAGCAAGGATACTGAAGTGCTAATATTGCCTAAGGGACTTGGGTGATTGCCAATCCATAAAGGTGTTATGATGAAATATTCCAGAGTGGAGCTAGATCATAGTGGAAGCTTCTGATACTGGGAAGGACATTCTAGGACATCTACACCAGATCACACCTTTTTATCTGAAATAATTGCCAGTTTCTCATTTGGATTCCTCCTCTCCATAGCAACACATCTTGGAAGGACAAACAAAGAAACTCATACTTTCTCTACCCTGTCTGGCTAATGGTAAAAGAGAAACTCTGCAGTTCTGTAGAGTGGCTTCAGTTCATGTGCAGCTTCTCTTATCCCTGTATAAGAAAGCTACACCTGATTAAAAAAAAAAAAAAGCTTCTGGATTTCCATGCAATTACACTCTGCAACCAGGAGGGTAGGTGAGGCAAGCAGAGCCTGAGAAATGTGTAAGTCAGTGTGTAAGATTAACTCCTTTCTGCAGTGCTTTCTACTCAGCACCCAAAACATTCTACCAGAAAGAAACATAAATAATAGTTGTCCTCCTTTGTAGGAAAAATATAACCAGATATAACAGAGCAGTTACAATAATGTGAATTATTCCACCACCACCACCACCCATTTCACAGGTGCAAAAATAGACTCAAACCACCCAAGTGTGCTTATTTCATATCTAATGAAACTGTAGGGTTTAGGAAAGCTCAGCAATTTATCATGTGCACCTGCTGGTACATATTCTGCAGTGTTCATGTATTTGTAGTTGATTTGCATAGATCAGGGGTAGGCAACATTTTTGAGCTTGGGGCCGGTCCCGCGAAGTCCCTCCCGCCATTGGGCCAAGGGGGGGGGGGGAAATGGCAGCACCCGCACCCCCCCCACGTGCACACACACCCTTTCACACACTGCCACCGCCGCCTCTGGCGCCGCCGCTGCACAGCTGCCTTTGCGCGCGCCACAGCCGGCATTTTGATTTTCAAAATGGCGGTCGAGATGCATTTGCACATACGCAGTACTTGCGACCGCCATTCTGATTTCCAAAATGGCGGTTGCGGTGGTGCGCGGCCGCATGGCAGCAAAAACGTGCGGCAGCGGCAGTGCGCGGTGGCGGCAACCTTCCGCTTGGGCCGGTAAGTCCAGGGACCTGGGCCTTAACCGGCCAGCGGGCTGTAGGTTGCTGGTCCCTGACATAGATTCTCCAGTTCTAGGTAATAAAATATCTTCACTTGCAAGGAATATCCTATTGAAGCTTCTTAGATTTAATCTTCCTACCTTAGGCTCTGGATGGCTTCTCTCTCTATTTTCTATATTAATTTAAATGATTGGCTGTGTTCTTTCCCCCTGACTTTAAACATGCCTCCTAAGAAAACAATTCTTTTTTATTGGGACAAATTGTTGTAATCAATAACAGCATCCACAAAATCTTGGATTATTTCTGTGAAAAACAGGAGATATCCCCATCTATGCTGTGGAGAGAGTTTTAGGCAGAATGAATATTGGCTGACAGAGAGGTGTCACTATTGTGTCAAGAGAGAAAACAGCCTGAAAGAAATAAAACAAGGTGATGTGAAAGTCCTGCCCAAAACATATCAAAAGAAGTGAAGACAAGGAGTGGAAGCAGAAAGAGTGAGAAGGAAGGCTGAGCCCTTTAACCTAGTATGAAATGTCATGAGAAGTGGCAGCAATTTCACCAAAGCTTCCATTTCTAAATGTCTTCACAATTCAATAATTTTAGCCATGATTCTGGGAGCTGAAGTCCAAAACACATGGAAGACCAAAGATTTTAGAACCACTATCCTAAGTACCCTAAACAAAGGCATCAAATCCTGTTTGACCTTGGAAGCTAAGCAGAGTCAACCCTGGTTAGTACTTGGAGGGGAGATCACTAAAGAACACAACATGCTGTAGTCTATATTTCAGGGGAAGGAACTTGGAAAATTACCTCTGAATATTTCTTGCCTAAGAAAACCCTGTGAAATTCATGGGGTTGCCATTAGTCGACAGGTCACTTGAAGACACACACATATACCGTACACATCCTGAATGTCTTCTTCATATTTTAATTATGAGATGAAAAACCTCATTGTCCAGGCTTCTCTCTCCATATTTCCTTATCATAAACAGTTTCTCTCTTCATGATGGAAGTTCCCTCCTGTATTCCAAGAACCATAAAATACAGGCTATGCATAATATTTTATATGCAAACACTATTTGCTGTTCTCTCCTTATTGTTATAATTTGGTAGGATGTTAGTTTGTTTTTTCCCCTTTACATATATTGTGTATGCTTATTGTTGCTGAAAGACCTTTTTGTGTGTGTGTGATATTAAAAGAAAACAGTGAAGAAGTGGAAATTGGATTTTTGGAATGAACACAAATCTTTGTGGAGTTCAGTATCTTTTGACCTTTTTGATTATCACCCTGGCAACTCAAAAGAGGTTTTGATTATTTGTCCTAGTTTTGCTGC